CAGAGGAATGTGTATCTTTGGACCGGAGCCTATCCAAGCACAGCTTTAAAACTGTCCTTTTCTCGCACACATGCAGTTTGATGCATCTCCAACATGTGGCCTTTAAATCACTCCCATAACCTAATCACAGCGGCTCTGCCGTGACATCCTGATTACATCCAGCAGATGACTTTTACAGCAGCTAAAGATCCAAACACATGACAGCAAGCTCACCTCCCTCCAATCCTCTCTCGCCCGCCCCTCCCTCCATCCTCTCTCTCTCTCTCTCTCTCTCTCACCCTCCCATACCTTCAGCCTAATGCATTGTGAGTGACGCCGTGGAATTGCTTCGCCATTGTGTGATGCGACACAGAGATTAATGAGCGACTAAGGGCCCCGTTGAAAGGGAGTTGAGCGAGTTCAAATTTCTCTAAAAGTTAAAGAGCTAATGTTACAATATTAATTTCCTCTTGAACAGTGAGTGGGAAAATATCCATTAGGAAAATTAAGCAGAGTTTCGGAGGTGGAGAGCATTGCTGCTGCTGCTGCAACTGTTACTGATGCTGCCGCTGCTCCTGCAACTGTTGCTGTTGCTGCTGCTTCAGTGTGGGGCCACGGCTAATGAACACACTGCAGAGGGTGATATTTCATTATACAAATTAATGCTCACGTTTTAATGGGAAAGTCACATAATGAATCTAAGCTTCAGTGACAGCAATTAGAGGCCAGATTGTCCCCTTCTGGACAAGGCACTATTTAGCAGTAAGCAGCTGTGTGTGAGGGGAAGAAAAAAATAAATAAATGAATGAAAAAAAAAAAAAAAAAAAAGGTCCTTGCTCTTGACAATAGCCACACATAACTGGAGGCAGCCCTGCATAAGCAATCAAAAAGAGTCGCCGCTCACCTTTAAATGAGGAGAAGCTAAGACAAAGAAATGAGGTGGGGGGGGAGCAGGAGTCGAGGAGTCACTTAACCTTAACCAGACCTTGTAATCAGGATGAATCAGGAGAGACCCGTGGTCTTCAGAGCTCATTCTTCTTACTGCCTGGTCTCTAACTTTCATGTGCTTCCTTTCTTTCCTCCATTCATATTTAGTTTCCAGATCACAGCATGGTTTCACTGTTGTTGAGGGCAGATGTAAGGTGTCAACTAAAATACTAACCAGAATTACAGGCTGTGATCACAATAAAGGTGCGTTTGAGGCTTCTTTTTTTTTTCTTTTTTTTTTTTTTTACAACCAACGTTGACTCAGTTTTACTGAAATAAGAAGTACATTTTAATCAAACCAGCTGAGTGGACTAAGGAATGTTAAGACGCCCTAAAATTACTCCTGCCATATGTTAACAATTTACTCCTTAAATTTTTGACGTCAAGCTAGAAATGATATAATATTCATGATAAAAAATAATAAACCAAGTAAATACAAAAAAAAAAAAAACTAACCCTGAACATTTTCCTAAAGTCTGAGGTTTAATCATAGAACAGGTTGTACTTGTTAGCTGCTGGTCCGTTGGCCCTCAATGGTCACTATGCTTTAGAGCAGGGGTGTCAAACATACCACACCCGGGCCAAAACCGGCCCGCTAGAGGGTTCAATGCGGCCCACTTGATAAATTTTGAAAGCAAGAAAATAAGTTTTGTAAACTTATATTTCATTAAAAATGATAATTTTCTAATACACCTGGTTTATGAAAAAAAAAAGGTTTGAGTGATTTCAGCTAACATGGATAGAGACGGTGCTTGTTCGTTGTTGGCTATTGTTGATACAAAAATAAATTAACAAATGATCTTGAATTGAAATTGAATTGAACTAATTATCAAACTGAAATATGACGGGTTTAGCAGTGAAATCCACAACTGCTATGTCCCCATCTATAGGCCAGCATCTTTAAAAGTCTGACTTAGCAAGACTAAACTGTCCTTTGAACCTCTTAAAGAGCCAGTTTTCTCCTCTGGCTGTTGTTTTCTGTTGCCGTCCAGACAGTGAATCCTTATCCTGTCTCTCGTCCTCATATATCTCGCAGTAACTGCCGCTCTCTAAAGATTTGATGTTTTTATTATCTTCGTGTTTCTGGGATGTTGTCACACTTCACACGTATAGTCAAGGTGAAATCCGAACATGCAGAGAGAGACGTGCACATGCTCAGCAGTATTAACATTTACAACCACAAATGTGTCACTGATCATTTTACGCATCCACATCAACATCAAGTCAATGCTGAAAGGCAAAATGTCATAAATGTTTTTTTGCCTTTTTTTTATAATAAATAATATCAAATTAAACAGGAAAAACTGAAAATTAATGAAAAGGGTTTTTTTTTTTTTAATCTACAGACCAGACGTTTCCCATGTATGGTGCATCATGTGGCTGAAAGTTGTGTTGTTTGTGCTGATATCAATTAAAAGTGGATTAACGGGAACATAATGACCTTTAGCAGTAAATTGAGTGTAATGTTGCAAGGCAGGATACAGTATATTCCCCAGATGTCACACCAGGCCCCTGACGTATGATGGAGCAGATGTCTGAGTCCAAATGGCCCCCGAACAGAAAGAAAAAGAAAGAAAGTGTGTGTGTGTGTGTGAGAGAGAGAGAGAGAAAGAGAGAGGGAGGCGAGAAAAAAAGGAAAGACAAAACACACACGCACACACACGCACCGAAGGGTCTCTAAATGGCAAACATGCCCTTATTAACAGCTGGACATGCTGATATTCTCCTATTGTTGCACTCTTTTTACATTACAATTTAAAAAAAATAAAAATAAAAACACAATACTGTCCTTTTACGTCAGAATTAATAAGATAACCGGGGGAAAATAATGAACATTGCACCAATAGCTTTGAAAACCCTCACAACTATGACACAGCTTGCGTTAGACTAGCTTTTACCAAGTAAAGGGTTAATACCCTTATTTAATAATAAGTCTGTGACTGAGAGGTGAATGGAAAATGGATAAATACATATATATTAATATATGTATTTATATATATATGTGTGTGCGTGCGCGCGTTATAATTTATTATTATTGACCGCGTGTGCGCGTTATAATTTATTATTATTGACCGCTGAACGTTAACAAGATTTTCTCAGATGGGGGTTGGTCGGTGGAGGAGCAGGAAGAAAAATCACATTAGTGTCATTTGTATCTTATTTGACTCCTGCAAAAATGAGTTTGTCCAGTGGTACGAATTGAAAATGATCATTTTCATCAGGGATGTTTCCTTATTAAATCAGAGGAGAGCCAAAAATCTCAGTCGTTTTTTTTTTGTACTCTCACACCCACCCGCTTTTAAATGGACTCGTTCGAAAAATCTGATCCCAGCACAGTCTCGTCTGTATCGCCCTTCCTGTAAATAAACAATAATGTGTGTGATTAACAACCCAGAAGCTTTTGATCCGAGTTGTTGCTACATTTTAGCAATCGACATTTTATATCTCCCCACTTTTCTTCTGTTTTCTTACTCTAATTATCTCATCTAGAAAAAGACATTGTCTGAGCTATTCTGAGCCCACTTCAAAATGTACTCTTAGATATTGGTGATGTTTGACACTACAGATGTTACAGCAGCACATAAAGAACAGGAGTCGGGGGAATGTTTTATATCCTAACTCTATTTGGTTGTAAAAGAACTCATGTCTGAGTTTTTATCTTTAGTCAGATTTATCTTATCTCGTCTCCCTGCTCTCTTCTGTCCTCCCTCCTTATTTTGTTTTTTTTTCTTCTACTATTCTTTTGTCCCTTCTCTCTTCCCACCTTCACTTTTTCTTTGTGTTCTCGCCCATTCTTCCCTATGCCGTATCAATATTGTATTGAGTTGCTGTTTGTGGCCGTTTTTCTGTGAGAACTCTGCAGTAGGTCTGCACATCGCACACTCTGTTTCTGGAATGCTGCCCTCTAAATAATGATAAATGACTTGAGCACTATGCCATTTGCTAATTATATCCATGATTTACTACACAGCCCGACTTAAATCATTCAAAGCAGCCTTGCGTAACAATGCCTTTTTTCTCCTCCTTCTCCTCCTCTTCTCCTCTTTTTATAAAATGGTTTCCATGTGTATAATCTGAACACTTTAAGACCATATTTAGAATAGAACACCGATGATGCTGCTGCTGCAGCACACAGAAGAAACACCTAATAATCTGTCATTTACATGGTTTGGGTGAAAGGAAATTTTAGTCTTCATATACATTAAAAAAAAAAAACAAATAAATAAAGTGAATTAATTTTGCTGCCTTTGCATCCCTCTCCCTCTGTTTATTGTTTAATGAATCAAGTTTTGGCTCACAGTTAAAACCTTTTATAATTGTTTACAGCTTCGGCTGTAGCCTTAGTAAAGGATCCATTTCTTGTTATTTTTTCTGAGGTTATATAGTTTTATGAAACATAGATTATGGTTATCGTGTATCGATCCCTGATATTTATTTTCAGATGTTTCCAGATGATAGTTCGCCAAGAATATTGTTTGTTATTCAGTAACACAAAATATTACCTTTTTTTTCATATTTGGCTAACTTCCTGGCAAAATCTTAAAAAAAATACTTACATTAAGTAATTTTAATTTAAATCTTGATAATAGCTTTAACCTTGAACACCAAACACTAATTTGGAATTGATCTACTGAAAGGGAGTGTAAAGGATTTAACCTCCGACCTTCCTGCAGTGTGACAACCTTAACTATTACTCAGACTTGTGTGTGGCATGTGCAGAGTTGTCTGGAAAAAAAAACAAACATTTATGTTGTTTTCTTTTTGTTGATTATTTTGTTTTTTTACTTTATATCATTATCATAATTTTTATTAGTTCGCAGTTTATTTGATTCTGGTCTTCATTTTTTTTTGCCCTGAGATTTTTCCAAAAAAATAAATCATGTTTTATTGCTTTTTTATGTGCTAGAATCATTTGACCTAATTTCCTCCGTTTAGGGAGGTGACATGACCCTGGGGTCCACAATCCCTGCTCCAATAAGAGGATTTCTCTGATAATCAGGTTAATGATTCACTGATTTCTCTCTTGTTCTCAGGAGAGAAACCCTATCGCTGTCCTCATTGTGACTATGCTGGAACCCAGTCTGCCAGCCTCAAGTACCATCTGGAGCGTCACCACCGTGAGCGACAGAACAGTTCTGCCTCCTCAGGACCATCCTCCACAGGTCACAGCACAGCTTCCGACCACAAAGAGGATCATGGGAAAATGGCGGGAGGTGCAATATTTGCTCGACCAGACATTCTTCGCAGCGTCTTCAAAGGAATTCCTCCCAACATGGACTTCAGAGCCGGACCACTGCTGCCTCATCAGTGGACATCAGCCGGGATGATGACACCCCATGATAACAATCGTGAACGTGGGGATCATCGATTTGACTCAACCTCCTCGGTTGAAAACCTGAAAATGACTGATGTGGCGTCCACCCTTGTCTCTACGGCAACAGATGGCCCTGCCAACTTCTCTGAACTCGGCAGAGCCTACCAAACCATGATGGGAAATGGAGTGCCCTTCCAAGGCTCCCTGCAAGCCTTTATGGACAACTTTGTCCTGGGCTCAATGAAGAAAGACTTAAAAGACAACCAAAGTCCTGGGCAGCTCAAGAACCAGCTATACCACGATAATGGGGAGCCGAAGGCCAAGAGGGCAGCACCCACTGAGCATGATAAAGAGGACAAACCTGAAATCAAGAAGAACTCCGACCCTCGAAAACCCGGATCCCAGTATGAACCTCTGGACTTGTCTGTGTCAGTTCGACCTGAGTCTGCATCCGGAGCACTTCCGGGTTCATCAGTTACCGTTCTAGATAACGTGGTGTGGCACGGCTGTCTCTTCTGCTCCTTCTCCACCTCCTCATTCGAGCTCATGGCCCTGCACCTCCAGGCAAACCATCTTAGTAAGACCCAGCTGCAGAGGCCCAACACCAGTGACACCTCCTCTTCCAACACTAAGACCTCCAATGTCAACAAAGATGGAGACAAAGATGGAGAGAAAAACCAAGGAGGCTGGAGCAATCACGTTGACCAGACCTACAACCCCTTTCAGAGTGAGTTTTACAGAAGATTTGGTGGCTTGTATGATGGATCACCAGGTGCCAACCCCAGCCTTCAGGGGTTTGTGACTCCAGCAGAGCAAGGTCTGGATATCCCTAATGTCTCCTTTGAAGGTACATCTTCAGCTGGGGATGAGCAGATGGCTGAGAGAAGCTCTCACGGAGAAGCAGAAGATGATCAGGGAGGATCAGACGATGAAGTAGCAAAAGGAGATGCTGCTGAGGCTTCTTTGAACTCCCCAAGGAGGCTGCCCCGACAGATCCAGTATGATGAAGACGAACAAGACGGCGTGACTGAAGAAGATGAAGAAAAAGATCAGGACATTGATGGAGATAATCTTCAGAATCACCGCAAACATCATCAGGAAGATTTCTCCTTTCCTCCCAGGAGCGGAGCTGGGCTAGCAGCTTCTTCTTCCTCCACTATGTCTTCACTTTCTCTGGGTCCTCCAGTTCAAAACCATACCATGTCACTGGAGAAGCAGTGGCAGCAGAAGAGTCTTGGCCTGCTCGCTTCAGGAGGAGGTCATGGACTTCGGAACGCCGAGCCGTACGGCCACCAAGATCAGCAGATGAACATGCTGTCAGTCCTGAGAGCCTACAGCAACGAGAACATGCCAACCTTCAATGGCCTCGGAGGAGGAGCTGCGGGAGGAACAGTGAAAAGGCCTGAAGTTCCTGGTGAGTCCAGAAAAAAAAAATCCAAACTTCTGTGAAAACCGATCACACCCACTCACATCAGAACCACACACATCAAAAGTCACAAGTGTTTCTAAAACAAATCCAGTTTTTCCATCAGTCAATGCAGAAAAACATGACAAACATCTAAATTCAAGTTGTTTCTGACTCTTTGACACCCACGGAGGAACCTCAGAGGATCTCTGAAGGTCTCCTGATGAGCTCTGAAGTGATTTTAGTCTTATTTCAGACAGGTTTAGGATCCATTCGCCTGGCGAGCAGCCACAGATTAATCTTTATTACAGGTTTAGATTACTGTGAGTGCAGCCAGGAGGGAATAACTCTGGAAGAGTCAGAACAGGACCTGCTTTTTCCTCCATGTCATCTCTCCTCCACGTGGATCTTTAACTATCTTAGCTCTCATAAAGCAGCAGCTCCCAGAAGTCCATTACTTTATAAGACTGGTGTGGATGTATGACCCTGTGAAAAATGAACTGTCAACTTTCATGATTCTGTGAAGGTTAGAGCAGCTGTTTTCAGACTGGAGATAGAGGAGGGCAAACAAGTTCTCTTAATGTTTTAAAGTGTTTTTTTTTTTTTGTTTGTTTTGCTGCTGCTGTTCAGGGAAAGTTTTTAAAAGTGTCTTTGTAATGAGTTTAAAAAAAAATGATTTCAAAAAGCTGCTTGACGTTCACTGAGAAAAAGAACACGAAACCCAAAGAAGCTCAGGAAAACTATATTCAAGAAACATATTTTTGGCTAGCCTATATAGTTTTAGTTTATGTTTGGTTGTCTTTAGCCATTGCTGAGCTGACATAGTCATAATTTGAATTAGAAACTCATCGGCATGTCCTGATTATTAGTCATTGTTTGCTCTTTTTGGGGACAGCTTTATCTTCCCGTGTTTCATAATTTATGCTAACATTAGCCACCGTCCTGCTATCCCTTTGGCATTGTTTTTTAGAGAGTCATATTTGTACTTACTTAGTAATGTCTAGCTATGAGCTACCTACTTATATTTCTTTATATATATATATATATATTTGGTCCTTTCTCGGGCAATTTTTGAGCTAGCTTACTTACTTGTTAAATACCAATGTTTAGGTTCTGGCTTTTGCGTAAACCAAACATGGCTTTTATATCAGTTAAGCTAAGCGAGATAAAGCTCTTAAACCTGCCCCCCCCCCCCCCCCCCACACACACACACACATTTAAACAAACATATGTTTGTTTCGTTCTTACTTTCAACTGAAATACATTTGTTGCTAAATGGGAGAAAATGCTGTGCCTATATTATAGCCCATTTGGGCTGGGTCAGAGATGAACGCACTTACACTTTTTTCCACTCTGTAGTATGGGTAATTGAAGAGACGGCTTTTGTTCACTGATTAGTTTTAACAATCCACCCACTGAAGTCCTTTTGAAGTATTGATAGGATGATTACCATGATTACCATCACTTCTGCTGCTGTTGCTGTCTTTGTATATGACGACCACAGTTATGTCTACGAAAAAAAAAAAAAACAACTCTTATTTCAACAACTAACAAATAAGAAAACTCTATCGCTAAGTTTAATGGCTGAAGCGACACCGGTGTCTGCTATTGATGCTCTTTCTGTTATTGCTATTTTAAGCCTTTTAAAGTCAACTCATTTACATCTGAGTTGCAATTGAGAAACGACCGCTAACAACAAACTTTTATTCACTGAATCCGTATATAAAATGTATTTTCCCTGACTCCCAGTTGGTTTTAGCCATAGGTTTTAAAAGACCTGATACAACAAATGATAAAATTTTAGGCGGCAACTGAACGCAAAGAGAAATCAAAGCTCAGTATAACATATTGAAAATACGTTTAATACTTGTTTTTTTTTTTGATAAAACAATTTGACTTCAAAACAAACAAAAAAAAAACAAGAAAAAATTCAGTCTCATAGACTTACCACGCTCATCCAAAAGGCTGTTGCAATTCTTAGCGACTGCAAGAAATATCTGGTATTTAGCTCTGTTATTAATGTTGAATAGAGATGTGTTATACCAAAACAAAGTCCATAAGAACATTTTGCAGCAGTCAGCAAAGATGAGAGGTTAAAAGTCTTTCAGTAACCTAGCCAGTCCAGTGTCCTATTTGTAAGCTACCTAGGCTAGAACAACTTGAATGATTGGGAACCTACACAGACGTGTTTGTATCAGTGGTTCTTAAGTGTCATCTGTCATGTGCCCCCTTAGTGACAGAAATGTTTTCACACCCCCCTCCCCCTTCCAGATCCATACCTGCATGAATTGAAATACTATTGAAAACCTGATGTATATTTTTATCTGTACAAACCACTGTATGAGTTGCTGCCACCTAGTGACAGGAGGCTTATCATTCAGCCCCTGATGCCACCCCCCTCCCCCCCCCCAAGAGCCCGCCCCACTATTTGAGAAGTACTGGTTTATATGAACCACTGTTCAATAAAAAAAATACTGCTTTGAAACGGGTTAAAGCTGCACCCTGCTTTGTATGTGTGTGCACACGTGTGTGTGTTTGTGTGTGTGACCACTGGTGAAGAAGGTTTTTTTTTTTTGCGGTAAAGAGGGTGGAGGCGGCGCAGACCCTAAAACTCAATTCTGCTGCTGCTGCTGCTGAAATGTGATTATCTGGAGTGGGTTTGCATTAGGTTTGTATGCAAATACCACATAAATCATTAATATTGAAATTGTCTGCGGCCCTTTGAATGAGAGGGACCTGTTGTTAGGACACGCAGCACTCGTCTGGAAGTGAAGACATGGAGGAGGAGCAGGTCATCTTCATCACATATTACCATCAAACACAGACACGTACATACAAAGATGCGGCTGTCTTTAATTCACCGAAATAAATACAAAAAATATATATATTTATTTCATATACCTCGATTTTTTCCTTACCAGTTTCCCCATTTATTCATTCAATTTATAATGAGTTCACCGTTATTCATTAATTTCAACATTGTTATTTTCATGTTTTTGAACATACATACAGAGCTAAATGCTTTGAAATATACAACTCAATATGAAAAAATATATAAATATATTATGCATATATATATATAAAGCCCCATATATTAAGCTCTATATATGTATGTATATATATATATATATATGTATATATGTATATCAAGACTATTCATTAGACAATGAATAGCTAACAGTTAAACAGATTGTGAGTTGACAGTGACTGTTAATCTGATATAAACCTGTGCTGGTGATAGAGACCAGGTTCTTACATAATCAATAGTTGCGCGCGATCCATTGCAGCCCACAGCCGGGGCGTGTTCCATTACTGCATTATTCAAACAGGTGCTGAACCTGTCAGCACTACCTCTGTTACTGACATTAGCTCCGTAGTTTAACGTGTTTATTGCGGAACAGCAGCTACACTAAGGTCAGGACCCACAAGCTGCTAAGGTGTTGACAGGACATTAGGGCATTAGACCAGGGGCAGAAGGAAAAGCAGCTCCGGGCGGGAGAACCTTCACTTGAATCTAAGGAGCAGCTAACTACGTTAAAGAAGGTCAGCAGTGAGAGGCAGGGGTAAAAGTAGACGGAGGAGTAAGAGCAAGGAATCTAGGAGCTAAACGTCCTCGCTTAATCAGAAAGTCAACAGAGCTGAAAACCAAGTGTGTGGTTAATGGAACAGAGTGCCGTATGCCAAAAGTGTCGTCTGCGTAGGTCTTCAGTCATCTGGGTCATTTTGTCTACAGCAGTTGAGGACTTGACAAGTGGCTTGAAGAGGTGAAGCTTTGGGTGCTACAACCTATAACTTTCACCTTTGTTAGCCTTGCTGTTGAAAAGCATTACCTTTCTCTTAGCTAACTTTTTAGCTCATAGTTCATTGGCTCTCTTGATAAAAGTAATGTACTTTGTTGAGAGCGATGTAAAGAAACACGTCGAGTACACAAAGTTTAAAGTAAGGAGTTGCAAATCATGACATTCTGGTTGACATGACACCGAAAACATGATTGACATTCAGATATGACTAGCCCATAATGAGACTCTCTCCTTCTGCCTGCAGACAATTTTAGACATACGAACGTTTGTCAGATGTTAATGTTGGAACATAAACATAAAACCCTGCCCATATAAAAGCTAAATAATGACTTCTTTAATAGCTTTACCCCACGGCCTCCCTTGGCTGCCCTCCATCCTGGCTCTAATGTCGTCAGTAATAAGATGGCTGCTGCTCCTTATGAGCACATGAACAAAGACGGAATGACATTTTTGGGATTATAAATCAGAAAGATTGAAGTAAGATAACAGTTTTTATTCACAGATTTTGAGCAGATTCTGTCATGAGTGTTGCTCATTCGTCTCAACAACTAATATCTTCACAGCAAAATGTGTTTTTTTTTTAAGTATAACGAGTAAATCACACTACAGCAAAATGCGTACAGATAGAAAGCAATAGTAAAATCACAGCACCTATTTGTTTTCCATTTTCTGCTGCTTCTGTTAACAAGTTCAATTTTTTTTGCGGATTCGACTTTTAAAAAAAAAACACATTGATGCAAACTGGCAGCAGTAGCAGTAGACTGTCTTCAGACGCCGACATGGGACTCGATAAAAGCACATTTTCTTTGCGGATTCGACTTTAAAAAAAAAAAAACACATTGATGCAAAGTGGCAGCAGTAGCAGTAGACTCTCTTCTGACGCCGACATGGGACTCGATAAAAGCACATATTTTCCTCACTCCGTTGAGTGGGAGATGACAGATGTGATGAAATGTGAGGTGTGGTTTCACATCTGTGCCATCACCATCATCATCATCAGCATCCTTCCAGTCATCATCACTACCAAATTATCGCCTCGTTGCCCAAAGGATGTCTTTGTTTTGAAAGAATGAATGAAGTGTAATATCTGCTGTTGCAGAATCCGGAGAACCAGACTTGTTGCTCAGCTTTAGCAGAAAAGTGATGACGAAAATGGCATTAAAAATCTTTGCCTTTTTTTTTCTTTCTTTCTCCTGCAGCATGTTTGAA